GATTATTAAAGGTAAGTGTTGTGGGTTCTGTCAGAGGTAATTGTTAAAAGCTAACCTGGAAGTTAATGCCTTTGTGTGTCATGCAGTTATGATGAAATGACGTCATATGGGAACTGTGATTTTTTGATCAGTTATACAGTCGTCATTGTCCCTTTGTACTTTGGTTTAATTTGTCAGTTGCACTGCAAAAAAAAAAAAAAAAAGGTTTTATATAAAAATTTATTTTAGACATTCTTAAAATGATTTTAAACATGTTTTTGTGTGTTTTAAGCATAACCTTCCCTAAATTTATGCTATTAAAAAATGCCAGAGATCTTGATTATTTCTTGATTATTATGTTTTTTTATAGAAACTACCTTTTAAAAGTTTGAATTCAGTACGGTTTTTTTTCTGCATAAAAATAATACGTTTTTTCAGCAAGGACACATTTAATTGATTAAATGTAACCGTAAAGACATTTATAATGTTACAAAAGATTTTTATTTCAAATATATATATATATATATATATATATATATATATTGTATAATGTATTATACCCCTATTTATATATATATATATATGTATTTGATCATTTATATCAAATATATACTTTATATATTGTAAATTATTCTATTTTTACCTAAGAAAATAATTTTCTGAAATGTGAATGCTGTCATTCCCTGTGTTATGTCACACAGTTCTGTTTTCGCATTCAGCGGTGGTGAGGTGTAATAAACTGGAAGTACTGGATGTTTTCTGTGATTTCAGGAAACCTCTCGTCTACCGTCATCTCTTGGAAAGCGAAAGCAGAACAAAGGCTTATTCTTTAAGGGGAAATCTACCTCTGTCCCTGGCTGTCATACAAATACTGTGGACATTCCTTGAGCAGAGTATTAAAGTGTCCAGAGCTCACCTGCAGGAGACGGCAGAGTCATATACTGGAAGCCTTTACAGTCACCGTCAGCTGATGGTGATGGAAGGGAAGAGAGCGAGTGAGGGATGAGGGCCGAACCGTAAAGACATTTATAATGTTACAAAAGATTTTTATTTCAAATAAATTAAGGAAAAATTATGAAAAATGTATCACAGTTTCCACAAAAATAGTAAGGACCACAACTGTTTTCAACACTGATAATAATTAGAAATGTTTCTTGAGAATCAATTTAGAATAATTTCTGAAGGATTCATTGTGTGACACTAAAGACTGAAGTAATGGCTACTGAAAATTCAGCTTTGTCATTACAGAAAAAAAGACAAATTATATTAAAACAGAAAAGTTATTTTAAATCATATCAGTATTTCACAATATTCCTGTTTGTACTGTATTTTGTAATCAAATAAATGCAGTAGTAGTAAGCATAAGAGACTTCTGTCCAAAAAGATTTTATTGATCTTGATATATATTTTGTTTTGTTTTTTTATGCTTTGTCTTATTATATTTTATAATTAAATATATACTTTATATATTGTAAATTATTCTATTTTTACCTAAGAAAATAATTTTCTGAAATGTGAATGCTGTCATTCCCTGTGTTATGTCACACAGTTCTGTTTTCGCATTCAGCGGTGGTGAGGTGTAATAAACTGGAAGTACTGGATGTTTTCTGTGATTTCAGGAAACCTCTCGTCTACCGTCATCTCTTGGAAAGCGAAAGCAGAACAAAGGCTTATTCTTTAAGGGGAAATCTACCTCTGTCCCTGGCTGTCATACAAATACTGTGGACATTCCTTGAGCAGAGTATTAAAGTGTCCAGAGCTCACCTGCAGGAGACGGCAGAGTCATATACTGGAAGCCTTTACAGTCACCGTCAGCTGATGGTGATGGAAGGGAAGAGAGCGAGTGAGGGATGAGGGCCACTGCTGTGAGTGGTTCTTTGGCAGTGTCTTAGCTGGTTGTTGTGTGGAGTGAGAACGAAGCAATCAGCAAGTATACTGCCGCAGAAACTCGTCACCTTGGAAGGCCCATCCATCCGACCCCGCTCACACACTCGGCTGCCCACCCGCGCTCAGAGCCTGGAGAGAGACAAGAAAAGAGAAACCTCAGTCTGTGCTCATTATCAAGCTTCTCTACCCATTCATTCTTCTAATTGTGAGTGTCAGCTTTTGTTTATTGGCACCACTGCTTGAACACTTACAGCGACTTGAGTGTTTCAAGTGAAAGATTAGTTCATGTTTACAGTATGTTTACTCTTATTTTCTATGACATTGCTGTCATAGTTTAGATCAGTCTGTTCCCTTTCTTTCTTCCATGAGATCAGGAGTGAATCATTCAAGTGTTGTTGTGAATATCAGCTGACCAGATTTCACAGTTTCAGTATTGGTATGACATGGTGTGGCCTGTTTATACTTGGCCTGATGACATATTCGTACTGTGTTGTGATGTGTTTATGTATAAGTTTGACCAAAACATTAATCATTTGATAAACCAAAAATACTATTCATTTACCTTTCACTTATATACTAAAAATAGAGAGAATATATATGTGAAAGAAATATATAAAATTCACTTCATTCAAAAATACATTTTTAATTTTTGTATTTTGTACATTTTTATTTTTTGTAATATTTTTGTATCAATATTTATTTTAAAAATAAGCTGTAACAAAATATATAAAAATTCTATATAAATGTATTTTTTATCCAAATAACAATAAAAACAAACAAAAAAAAAAGTTTTAAAATTGTCATTATTGTCATGTTGTGTTATTTCTCTGTTTCTGGTGTATATTTAGTCTTTAAAGCGGGTTTAAGTTGAGTTTCATTTTCAGGGAATTTCATTAGTGTTTGGGTTTCGGTTGTTGATCTTCAAAAGGGCAGTTTATTCAGGTGAATGAAATGCCCGTAACTCACTTGAGGTTTTGATGTAATCACATCAGTGTGGCAGTAAGTTTGAACTTGTCCAGAAAGCTGGAAATCATTTTAGTAAGGTCTTTCACAATGTATTAAAGCAAATTTTTTAATCACAACCTAAAAGTGTGATTATAATACTGTGAAATGGAGTGTAATTTAATATCACAAACATAATGTTATTTTAAAAGGTATGTTAAACACTGTGTGTGTGTGTGTAAAAGAGCAATTATAGCAAATGAATCCAAATGAACTGTTTGAATGTTTGTCCTATAGGCCACTTACTAGATTGGATTTTAACAGACAATGGCAATTAAATTTTTTATGCACAAAACAATGTGCATGATAAATGCCCAACTCCCAACAAACGTGTTATGTTGTTTCAGTTGTATGGTTAACCCAGACATAGACAGAAAGTATTTTGCATTTTATTGTAGTTAATCTCTTGAGTCTGAATTGTATTATGTCAGTGGATCCGGAGTTTCATTTACATTATCTGTGATAGATTAAAACTGAACTTGAATATATCAGTATACAAAATAGATGTTTTTACTTAGTCCTTCTCAATTATATTTTACATCAAATTACACAGCATACAATAAAATATATTACATAACATAATAAAATGTATTAAAATATATATCATTCAACACAATTAAAATATAATGATTCCCTCTGCTGAAGGCCTCATCATTTATGCTCACTTTCAACAACTTTTAGGCTGCATCTTCACACCTTCCTGGCAGAATTTAGGAATTCATTTAATTAATTAATTATGGATGCATGGCAGAAGAATACAAAGTGCTGATGTCATATTTATGTCGGTGATGTCTGTCAAGCCTAAGGGTATTTTTGAGAGCAAAAAAACACCTCTGCACTTTTTAAAATTGTTACACATGGAGTAATGAGAATAAGAGAGTGAAATTCCTCTAAATAACACTGCACACTGCATGCACAGCTCACAGAGGTGATGGGAAGAAAACTATAGGTTGCCTTTAATGGAAGATCAAGCAAAGCATTGATTTTTTTTTCTCTTCTCCACTTTCTTTCTCTCTGCCTGAAATAAAACGATGCACCACATTGGGACAGAATGCTGCAGTTCTCCAGGAAACAGTATTCTTAAAAAACATTACTGCTGTACTGGTGACAGTGTGATAAAAGGAGATGCGTTTACCTCAAATTAATCCTGGCCTAAATAATAGACTAATAGACACAGAAATCCACTGTAAGCTGAAATATAGGCTACTTTTTTTTTTCTTTTTTTATACAAAAACACCATCACTCTCCAAAACTTTCATTTATAATCGATCAAAACATGATATAAAGAGGTTAAAAGAAAAGAGACCACGATCTTGAAGCTTGATGGAAGATCACATTGCGCCATCTAATGGCGTATTATAGTGATTGCATGTATTTAATTGTCAATAATTGCAGGCACATTTGGCAATGCCGCATTGCTTGCACACATACTTAAGAAAAATAATAAGAAAAAAGAATGTTTGTAATCTTACGAAAATTAACCATGGTTTTACTACAAATAAAACAAAAAACCATGGTTACTATAGTTAAACCATAGTAACCACAAATTAACCATGGTTTTGCAACACTAACCATAGTTTAACCACGGCATTTGTAGTAAAACTGTGGTTATACAAATGGTAGTCAATATGCCAAAAAAAACATGGTTACTACAATTTTACAATAATAAACCATGGTTAATTTTCGTAAGGGATGTAGTCTAGCCTACTGGTGTTTCGTTGAAGTTCGTGAATCTTTTTATGTGAAATTAAAATGTTTCGTGATAAAAAAATAAAAAAAAAACAATTGATCTGATTTACTGACGTTTGTGAGGAAAAATGTTAAACGTTCTTTCTAGAGTCTCTTTTAATAAAACACATAAAACTTGTGAATGGTTCCATGTCCCCATCTATTTGCGTAACGTTGAAACCAACAGAAAGAATCACTAAATGAATCAGTGAACGATTCTGTATGAATCTTTTTCGTGTTTTGAATCACTCTCTAACACTAGTGACTTTAACCTTCTCAAACTAAACACAAAAACAAAGTTCGTGAGTTCGTCAGCTTAGATTTCAAGGCTGGCCACACGTTTAGTCTGTTTTATAACAAAAACACGTTTAGTCTGTTATATAGTAACAAAAATGGACACGAAATTCAACATGTTTTGATTTGTTATTTTCAAGACATTGTTTCACTGCCTCAGCGGTTGTGAAGAAGCTGTTGGACTGGCTCTTGTAAAGCCTCTTACGCCGCTGGATCTTAAAGCCCGTCTTGTTTTTCAGGGCAAAGCTTTGTCGAGGGAAAATTGGACTGGAAATCTCTTCGGGTTACAAGTGGATTCGATACTTTAAACAAGACTCGACTTTACCAAACACCGAACAAACAAACAAACTAGGCGTTAGTAGATTTTAAAGTCTTAAAAGAGAAACTATGGCCGAGACGAACCAGACCGAGGTGTATGTTTACGAACAGGTTGTTATCCTGACATCCTGTGTACTTTCGTTTTTTGGGTCACTTTTAATCATATGCACATATGCAAGATGGCACGATCTGAGAACTACACCGAGAACACTGCTCGTGTATCTGTCTGTCACTGACCTTCTGTCTGCACTCTCTTACTTTTACGGAGTTTTGAGGATTTTTGACTCTGATTCTGGGGATTGTATCGCGCAAGGAGCAATTTCCACATTCGCCAACACCAGCTCATTCTTCTGGACCGTGGCTATTGCTATTTACTTATACGTTTTTATTGTGAAGTCCAGCCAGAGACAGGCCGACAATTTGGTGCTGTATTTTCATCTTATCAGGTAAACTCTACAAAGCATTTCTTCCCTGCCAGAAAATTCTTAAAGGAACAGTTCACTCCAGAAATATTCACTCAAAATTATTTAAACATTTACTCACCATTGTGGTGTACCAAAACTGTATGATTTTTCTTCTGTGGAAAACAAAAGCAGACGTTTTAAGAATGACTGAGTCACTGTGCACTTTTAAGGGGTCATATTATGCGATTTAAATTTTTCCTTTGTCTTTGAAGCGTTACAAGCTCTTGGTGCATAAAGAAGATCTGTAAAGTTGCAAAGACCAAAATCTCAAATCCAAAGAGATATTCTTTATAAAAGTTAAGAGTCAACCACGCCTACCTAAAATGGCTCGTTCTAACACGCCCCCACATGTCTACATCATGATGTGGGAAGATTTGCATAACGCCCAAATGTTCACGCAAAGAAAGAAGGCGTAACTTTTATTCTCGCTGTAGTAGTGTTGTTGCCGCCGCCGCCATGTCGTGAAGGCGCTGTGTGTTTCGTTGTGAAAGCGAAACTACTTTGTTTGGCCTTCCAAAAGAGGACAATATCTGCTTCGTCATGCCTGGAGCTGATCCGTGCTGGTCGCTGAGGAAATAAATCAACTTCGCGCTGTGGATCGCCGGATCAGCTTTCACCGTGAACGAAGCGGAGTCCAGCCAGGGGTCGTCACATGTGGTTGCCGCAATCCCGCCTGACGCCACTCACTCAAGCCGGCCCCCGTTTTTTGAACCTTAAACCGCATAAACACATTTCATTACACCAAATACACCAAATAATGTTCTTTTTAGCAACATCATATGACCCCTTTAATAATAATATGTGGGGGATAGGTCAAATATCCTTTTAAAACTTTCTGTGGTTGTTTATAGTGTCAATTATAGTTTATAGTTTATAGTGTCAATTTAAAAAAAATTGTTTAACATTATCTTTTAATCTATTAATTGTATAGTATGTATTAAATTAGTTTACGTGTAGTTCCTTACTTTACATAAAATAAAATTCACAAATGTACAAAATAATTTTACATAATTCCTTCCGTTCTGATATGGAATATTGGTACTTTTCATAAATTAATTTTTTTACAATTTTTGATGTCTCAAATCTTAATGTTGCAAAAAAAATAAAATGTTCATGTTCATATGCCACGGTTATCTTTTCATTTAATTTACAGGTAAACAGGAGATTATTTCCTATATATTACAGCGATTTAGGAAAGGAGATTATTTATATTCCTTGTATAATATTTTGCCTTCAGAAGCATCCTTTCAGCTACACTAAGAAAAAGGATTTTAGACAGTGAGTGCTCATTAACTTTAATAAGGATTCTGTGTATAAGGGATAGGTCTGGTTTTGCAGCCTGTGGATGTCTGTTTGCAGTCTGATCTTGTGATATGTGGTTTGTGTCAGCTGGGGCGTTCCTTTCGCCATCACTGTGGCAGCCCTGTCCCTGCACAAGATCGGCTATGACGCCTCTGAAGTGTCTGTTGGCTGGTGCTGGGTGAACATCCAGGCTGAAGATCATGTGCTGTGGATGCTGCTCACAGGAAAGATCTGGGAGTTCATTGCCTATGTCACACTGCCAGTCCTGTACATTCTTATAAAGATACACATTCACAATGCAGTAAGTCCACCATGGCTCATCGCAGACAGTTTAACATTACAGCTTAGCAGAGGTTTGCATGGCATTTTCATAAACGTATAATGTGCGCAACGGGCAAGTCATTTCTGGAATAATTTCCAGAGCTAATGTATCAGGGAAATATCATAATATCATAAAATAGTGATAGGCCTGGAAATGTCATGGATATTAATAAAATCTTAAAAGGTCATGGAAGTTTTGGTCATCAATAGGTTTTACTAGTTATGCTGAGCTATTAAATATTTCAAAGGCTACAAATTGTGAGTGCAACATTTAAAAAAAATGTTAAACTCATTTGGATAAGTTATGGGATTTTACTGGTAAAAAAAAAAAAGGGGGGGTGGGAACCCTATAAAGTTAATTGTTGAGAAAATTAAATATTATGCAAATAATATTAAAGACCAGCCCACATTCTTGACATAGTAACACAACTGCATTCTGCAAACCACATGCTGTAGTGATGGGGGTGTATAGTTATGCTGTTTCCTTGCAAACGTTTGGTTTGAGGTTTGCCAGCCACTTTCAATACTCTTTTAAATTGATAGATCAGCCAAAAAAAATCTGTCATCATTTACACTACAGTTAAAAGTTTGGCATCTGTTTTAATGGTTTTGGGGGGAAAAAAGTCTCTTATTCGCACCAAGGCTGAATTTACAATAAAAACAGTAATATCATGAAATATTACAATTTAAAATATCTGGTTACATTTGAATATATTTTAAAATGTAATTTATTCCTTTAATGGCAAAGCTGAATTTTTAGCAGTCATTACTCCAGTCTTCAGTGTCACATGATCCTTCAGAAATCATTCTAATATGCTGATTTTGGTGGTTAAGAAACATTTTCTTACTATAAATGTTGAAAATAGTAGTTTGTAGTTCAAAAGAACAGCATTTACAGCACTTTTAAACAATTTAATGATCATTCTTTAATTCTGGATTAACTCTTGCCGAATAAAAACATTCATTTTATTTATTTAAAAAATTTTATAGAGCAGGCAGCCCATATGACTTACTTTCTTCTATGTCAGAATTTTTATTTTAGGTGAGTTTTTTCTGTAAGACTAAAGAATGCTGATCCCTTTTTAATGCCCTTTTTTTTGGGATGTATTTAAGTATGCAGCCCTGTCTGAGTACCGTCCCATCCTGACCAGCAGCCCTGTCTCTCACTCGCTGTCTTCCATGGCAGACAGGAAGCTCACCCTCATCCCCATCATCTTCATCATGCTCCGCATGTGGAGCACCATCCGCTTCCTGCTCCTGCTGACTGACTCCCCTGCAGGACACAACCCTGTGCTGGTCACCTTGCATGTGAGTCACCCGGTTCCACTTAGTTAGTCTGAAATTAACCTGATTTACTTCCACCCAAAGTCCCATTAATGTGGTTTATTTGTATACTTCATTTGGCAACCCAATGATTCTGATTTCATTGTATTTAATAGGGAATTGGAAACACCTTTCAAGGAGCTGCTAACTGCGTCATGTTTGTGCTGTTGACTCCCTCGATTCGATCACGTCTGGTGGCTCTGCTGTGCTGCAGAGGTCAGGACAGACACTGGCGTACAGAATCAGTGTCCCAGAACAGGGAAAGTGCATATACGCCTTCACACAGGGAGGAAAACCCCAACGCCCAAACCTGGGAGAACAGTGAGGGGTAAAAGCTGCTAGGATCCTCCATCTGCTGCAGCACGTTTAAGTCTATTTGAATGGAGTGAAAGCTCTGACTTTACAGCTCTCTGTTGTGGTTGTTGGAGTTACGTCAGAGCCTTACACTCAGCTTTCTTGTTTGACCAAGTGCCTTCACGGATTACAGGGGACTGCGGTCACATGCACAAAACCCGCAGAGCATGGAACACAAACGCACTTTCTGTTACCGGTTTAGCTCAGCACTTTAGGCGAGAGGCTTTCTGTCTTCCAAATCTGTTTTCATTCTGCTGCTGCAGATATCTCATGTTCATTTAAATAGAAATTAGATCTGTAGCTCAGGGGAAGCGAGGGATACAGCAGTTTATTATCTAGTGACCAAAATGGCACTGTTGTGCCAAGTGTTTTCACAAGGGATTTCTTCCCTCTTTCTCCCACCAAAGCATTCTTAATGCAATGTTATTACTTTACATTACATTTAATATGTGTTTTTAATCCATTAATTATGTGTATTATGTGTTGTATTTATATGTACAAATGTATAGTATTGCTTTTGCCCTATGTATGTATAATGTCATAATGTCATTTCTTTTTTTTCTTTCACTTTTCTCTGTATAGAGTCACATGCACCTAGTCACAACATGCACATGTATTGTTATTTCACACAATGCCTTTAAAATACCTATGACACAATGGGGAAGAAGTGCCTTTTAATCTTTGTATATTACCGGTATAAATTATGTAGTTATGAATTTGTATTATAGTTATATTTTATCAACATATCAATTAATTTCAATAAAACGATTCATTACCTGTCAGATTCAGTTATTTTATTATTTTATTATATACTATTATTGTTTTCATAAATATTTTGAATTAGCTTTTGTTTTTATATTTAAAGTTTTCTTTTAGTTAGATTTTTATTTTATTTTTTGTGTGTATGTTTTGTCATTTTTATTATTTCCATTTTTTATTTATTTCCAGTTAGTAACTTTAGTGCTTTAATTTATTTGTCATTTTTATTTTCATATATATATATA